AATGAATCAAGGGGAACGAAAACGTCTTATATTATTTTGAGATATTCGTTGCAGTTTTCGAAATAAATAAGAAAATGTCTAAGCCAACGTGCGATGAAGCCGCGCCGCGCAAATTCGTAGCACGGCTCATCGCGCTTCATTCCATAGCGACGGCGCGCTAGGGAGGACGAAGAGAAGGATAGCGCTTCGTCCCCTCTACGCGCGCGCCGTCACTATGAAGTGGCGCGATGGACCGTGCTACGAATTTGCGCGGCGCGGCTTTATCGCACATTGGCTTAGATGTTTTTTTTTTAATTCGAAAACTACAGCGGATATCTCAAAATGGTATAGACATTTTCGTTTCCCTTGACCCATTCTACGCCCGCAATGCGGCCCGGATCTTACTTAAGAGAAACTCTGTATATATACACACACACACGCACGCACGCACACACGCACGCACATACGCACGCACACATATATTTCAAGTGATATTGTAAATATAACAATTTGCCCAGCTTAGTAACAACTTGCCTCATAGTGGGAAATTATTACAATTTACCTAGTGATAGAAAATCTTAATTTTCAATATTTAAAGACATAGATAAATCAGAAAAAAATTGATTATCTAGGTAAAGATATATTTGAAGCAATGCATAGGTATTCATTAATTTAAATGTATATATTGATACGGAAAAAATTACTAATCAACAAGAAATTGTAACGACTTGTCCTAGTCACCTCTATATAACCAGAGAATTACTTAAATATGATTGGAAATTTTTATGTAAACAGCTAGTGAAGTGGTGATTAGAAAAATGCTGATTGGTCTCTTTCAAAGAGACGAGTACTATAATTAGAGCTGCAAATACAAGGTATATTAAAAGACTACTATTTACATATTACATTTTACATATTTACATATTTACATATTACATTTATGCGTTTTTGTACGATAAATTTTTCAAACCTGTTGATTAGCTATATGATAGAGAGATCCGAGGACCTCCTGCACACATTTGTCATACGACAAAAAAACGCATAAATGAGATAACGGCCATAGAGTACCTCAAATAAGAGTTAATATGGATAGAGGCGAATGAGGCAAAACCGGAAATGCAATAATCTGCTACACAGACATTATAACTTGTAGACAAATTTATGTGTTCATTTTATTAAAATGATATATAATTCCAATGCAATTCTTCACCATTCACTTATTTTTGTTATTTATATTTTATCTTAAAAAAAAAACAATGATTTTAAAACATTTGTACAACGTGATTATTTAAACGGTTTCTACAAAACGATTCTAAAATAACCTTAAATGATTTTAAAACGAAAATAACCATTTCTAAACATTTTATAAACGTCGTTATTCTACTTGGAAAGTAATTTTTGTTTAGAACAGATTATTTATTTTTAAGTATTGAATTTGTGTTTTTAAAGCAGTGAATTTATGTTTTAGAATAGATACCATATAATTTGTTTTTAGAATATGTTACAACTTTCCCTAGCTCTGTTTCATTTTGCTCCAAAT